AGTTCCTTTTTTTTCCTTATAATCAGTCTCCTAGTAATCAGGAATGTTAGATACTGGATTTAATTGGACAAATTGGTGTTGTAGAGATCTGATTTGGAACTTTTTCTGTTTCCAATTTTTGTTTTTAGTTTCTAAATTTGGCTTCGAATTATTCTAGGGGAAGCCGATGAAGAACCTTGGTCCGCAGATTTGTCAGATCTGTAGTGACAATGTTGGGAAGACTGTTGATGGAGATCGTTTTGTGGCGTGTGATTTCTGTTCGTTCCCTGTTTGTAGGCCTTGTTATGAGTATGAGAGGAAAGATGGGAATCAATCTTGTCCTCAGTGCAAAACCACTTACAAGAAGCACAAGGGTAATAATAATACTTTTGATCTTGATATTCATGACTTTGATCCATTTGACTTTGATCAGTATGTTTTGAAGCTATGGATCAGATTGGTGTTTGATATGATTTTGCTGATTTCTGTATCTAGGTAGTCCTGCTATTCCCGGTGATAAAGACGAGGATGTCTTAGCTGATGAAGCTACTGTCGAGTTCAACTACCCGCAGAAGGAAAAGATTTCAGAGCGGATGCTTGGATGGCATCTTACACGTGGGAAAAGTGAAGAAATGGGGCAACCTGAGTATGACAAAGAGGTTTCTCACAATCATCTTCCTCGTCTCACCAGTAGACAAGATGTAAGGAGGCATTGCTATTTGTTATTCTCTCTTAAGCATTCACACCATCATGCAATTGAGTTTTTGGAATCTGATTTTGTCATTCGCTTATTCGCAGACTTCAGGAGAGTTTTCTGCTGCGTCACCTGAACGCCTCTCTGTGTCTTCTACTATAGCTGGTGGAAAGCGCCTTCCCTATTCATCAGATGTCAATCAATCACGTAAACACATATACTTGTACCTAGGCTTTTCGTTTATGGCAAAACTCTAAACAGTAAACTCTGTTGTCATTGACGCTGCAGCAAATAGAAGGATTGTGGATCCTGTTGGATTAGGGAATGTAGCTTGGAAGGAGAGAGTTGATGGCTGGAAAATGAAGCAGGAGAAGAATACTGGTCCTGTGAGCACGCAGGCTGCTTCTGAAAGAGGTGGAGGAGATATCGATGCCAGCACAGATATCCTTGCAGATGAGGCTTTGCTGTGAGTTCTTGTTTTGTTATCTCGTTTGGTTCATTGTGGTGTCCTGTTCTGCTTCAGGGTTATGACATTGCACATTTCCATTTTTATTTAATGTTCAGGAATGACGAAGCGAGGCAGCCTCTGTCAAGGAAAGTTTCCATTCCTTCATCACGGATCAATCCTTACAGAATGGTTATTGTGTTGCGGCTTGTTATCCTCTGTCTCTTCTTGCATTACCGTATAACAAATCCAGTGCCAAATGCCTTTGCTCTGTGGCTGGTCTCAGTTATATGTGAGATCTGGTTTGCTTTATCCTGGATTTTGGATCAGTTTCCCAAGTGGTTTCCTGTGAACCGTGAAACCTACCTAGACAGGCTTGCTTTAAGGTATGTTCTATTTCCCCATTCTTCTGAAGCAATTACTCGAAGGATTGACCACCTATAATATTTCCCTTTCTAATCTGATGATACTCAATTTTGGTACAGATATGATCGTGAAGGTGAGCCGTCACAGTTAGCCGCTGTGGATATTTTCGTGAGTACGGTTGACCCCTTGAAGGAGCCACCCCTTGTGACAGCCAACACAGTGCTCTCTATTCTGGCTGTTGACTACCCGGTTGACAAGGTGTCTTGTTATGTTTCTGATGATGGTGCTGCTATGTTATCATTTGAATCGCTTGCAGAAACATCAGAGTTTGCTCGTAAATGGGTACCATTCTGCAAGAAATATAGCATTGAACCTCGTGCACCAGAATGGTACTTTTCTGCGAAAATAGATTACTTGAAGGATAAAGTTCAGACATCATTTGTCAAAGATCGTAGAGCTATGAAGGTAAGTTTGTAGTTTTAGTCATGTAGTCATCCTCACTTTCTTTTTAGAGTATGCTATATTGACCTTTTATTATCTTGCAGAGAGAATATGAGGAATTTAAGATCCGAATCAATGCACTTGTTTCCAAGGCCCTAAAATGTCCTGAAGAAGGGTGGGTTATGCAAGATGGTACACCGTGGCCTGGAAATAATACAAGGGACCATCCCGGAATGATCCAGGTAAGAGAAATGGTTATAAGTATGCAAATCAAGTATTCTCTCTCTAGAAGTTCATTGTTGAAGTAGCATTTGTTGAATGCAGGTTTTCTTAGGGCAAAATGGTGGACTTGATGCAGAGGGCAATGAGCTTCCACGTTTGGTGTATGTTTCTCGAGAAAAGCGACCAGGATTCCAGCACCACAAAAAGGCTGGTGCTATGAATGCACTTGTAGGTTTCTGATCTCCGAATTTCAATTTCTTCTTGCTCTGAATAATATTTGTTAGTCTAATCTTGGTGCCTTTCAAATGAACAGGTTAGAGTTTCAGCAGTCCTGACTAATGGACCATTTATCTTGAATCTTGATTGTGATCATTACATAAATAACAGCAAGGCCTTAAGAGAAGCAATGTGCTTCCTGATGGACCCGAACCTCGGGAAGCAAGTTTGTTATGTCCAATTCCCTCAAAGATTCGATGGTATTGATAAGAACGATAGATATGCTAATCGTAATACTGTCTTCTTTGATGTAAGTCACACTTACCTATACTTGCGTCTAATTTTTCTTGGTTCTTTCAAATTGCTTTTAGACATGAATATACACATTCAGTGTCTTGAGTTTTGTTGTAATTTTTACGTGATATGTTTTCCAGATTAACTTGAGAGGTTTAGATGGGATTCAAGGACCTGTATATGTGGGAACTGGGTGTGTTTTCAACAGAACAGCATTATATGGTTATGAACCTCCAATAAAAGTAAAACACAAGAAGCCAAGTGTTTTCTCTAAGCTCTGTGGTGGATCAAGAAAGAAGAATTCCAAAGCTAAGAAAGACTCAGACAAAAAGAAATCAGGCAGGCATACTGACTCAACCGTTCCTGTATTCAACCTCGATGACATAGAAGAGGGAGTTGAAGGTACAACTGTTTTTATTTCTTCTTTGGCTTTCCGTAATCCCCATACATTGGTGTTTGAAATATTTATTAAGATATTTTGCACTATAGCTTCATATTAGGCATCTCATCATGTCCTAATTGTATGACATTTGTAAAACTCAGGTGCTGGTTTTGATGATGAAAAGGCGCTCTTGATGTCCCAAATGAGCCTTGAGAAGCGATTTGGACAGTCGGCTGTTTTTGTTGCTTCTACACTAATGGAAAATGGTGGTGTTCCTCCTTCAGCAACTCCAGAAAACCTTCTCAAAGAGGCTATCCATGTCATTAGTTGTGGTTACGAGGATAAGTCAGATTGGGGAATGGAGGTATTTTCTCATTATAACTCCTACATGAAACTGCAATGTTCAGACATATCCACTTTGGCACTCACTTTGTTGATCTTTTCCGCTGTCTTTCTTCAGATTGGATGGATCTATGGTTCTGTGA